ACGCCCTGACACCTCCCCGCCCCTCCCGTCCAGGTCCACGGGGAGGGGGTAGGGGGGGGGGTCAAGTTACCCCCTCCCCGCCCGCAAGCTGTCTCGCTCACTCCCACCCGCCTTCCCAACACATACGTAGCACCCGAGTCTTTGGATGGGCAGCTACTGAGGCCAATCCGCCGCCGCCGCCGCCGCCTCCGCCGCCGCCGCCGCCGCCGCCGCCGCCGCTGCCCGCCGCCGCCGCCTGCCGCCGCCGCCGCCGCCGCCGTCGCCACCGCCGCCGCCGCGCCGCCGCTGCCGCCGCAGCCGCTGCCGCCACCGCCGCCGCCGCGCCGCCGCCGCCGCCGCCCCCCGATGCCAAACCGCCGCCGCCGCCGCGCCGCTGCTGCCACCGCCACCGCCGCCGCCGCCGCCGCCGCCGCCTCCGCCGCCGCCGCAGCCGCCGCCGCCGCCGCAGCCGCCGCAGCCGCCGCCGCCGCCGCCAAGTGTACTATGTATTGTTTTTTTGACAGGGATGGTGGGGGGTGCCGCATCGGGTTGGCTGCGCATGTTCCGAATTTGGAGGCAGAGTGTGGTTAGCATTTTTTTTTACAAGGAATGGTGGGGGGGGGGTGTCGTGGACCTTGGTTGGCCCCCGGTCGCCTGGGGGAGGGGGTGTTTATTAATAGGGAACAGTGATAAACCCCTCCCCGAAGGGGAAGAGGGAGGGGTGGAAGAGGAAACGCCCTAAACCACCGACGCCCTGAGGGCTGGTGGGATTCATGGAAATCTCCCGGGCTCTTCAGGAATCTGTAGAAAGCCATAGGAGCCCCTCAGCAAGATCCTAAGGAATCCTCGGGGGATCCTTGGGATTCCGATGGGTTCCTCACGAGAGGGCCCCAAGACGGCTCCAAGACAGGCCCAAGAAGGGGAACGTGAACCCAGAAGTGTCCGGAGGGTCGTAGTTCTTGAGACGCCCAAGACGGCCTGAGAGGGACCCAAGACGGCTCCAAGACAGGCCCAAGAAGGGGAACGCGTACCCAGAAGTGCCCGGAGCTTGAAGGCGGTTTCAGAGACGCTCAAGACAGCCCCAGAGGGCCCCAGGAGACCTTCCAGAACGCCTCCGACAAGCCAGAACTTCTCCAAAACCAAGTGAAAATCAGTGACTTTCGCCTTCTCGCCTTGTCGCCTCCGATGGTTTGCTGATACCTCGCGATCGCTCCCAAGAGGCCCCCAGGAGGCTCCAAGACGCCCCCCACACAGCCCCTCAGACGCTCGAGGAGCCCCCAAGACGCCCCCAAGAAACCCCTACAACTTGTGGGTGACTCCTGACGTTGCATGTCAGCGTGCGCATCTGCATGCAACTGTTAGACTGTCACGGGCTGGAGCGGGCTAGAACCTAAGCGCGCGAAACGCGCGCGTAGTTCTAATCTATAAATATGCATGTGTATACATATATGTATATACATGTATCGTGTGTGTCCGTACAGTCAGCCCGCATAGTAAGGATGGGCAACCCTTGCATCCTTTCCCTTCGGTCCATCCTCGGCTGCTTTCGCTGGCATCGTTACCGTGCGTCCTTCTGATACGACTGGGACTGCAGGCAGCTCTGGCCGCCGTCGCCAGGAGGAGTAGGATGATGATGAGGATGAGGATGAGGATGAGGATGAGGATGAGGATGAGGATGAGGATGAGGAGGAGGAGGAGGAGGAGGAGGAGGAGGAGGAGGAAGGAGGAGGAGGAGGAGGAGGAGGAGGAGGAGGAGGAGGAGGAGGAGGAGGAGGAGGAGCAGCAGGAGGGCCGCTCTGGCCGCCGTCGCCACCTCGCCGCCGCCCGCCCCGAGCCCCGCAGACCCCGCGCGTCCCTCGCCGACGGCCTGGGCGCGCCGTCCCCCGAGCCGTCGGCGCCCACCGCGCCGGCCACGCCCCGCGGGGGCGCGCGGCGGCCCTCGGGGGGCCGCCGCTTCGCGCCCGCGGCGCCCGCGACGCCGCGCCGCGGCGCTGCGCGGCCGCAGGTGCGCCGCCCTGCCGCCCCAGGGATCCGAGGATCAGGGGCAACGACAGGGGGGGGATAGGCATAGGGGGGGGATGCGTCGACCCCCAGTCGCCCCCCATTGATCGCCGAGAAGGGGCCCGGCAGGCCCAAGCTGCCCAGGAGGGTGCGGATTCCCTGCCGGAGGCCCATCGTCGATCCATCGGCGAGGTGACGCCGATTCCAGGCCGATGCATCCCCCCCCATATGCCATTCCCCTCCCTGTCGTTGCTCCTCAGAGGATAATGAACTCTTCAAGCCGGCGGTTTTTTCCCTGGACTTCGGCCTCCAGACCCGCTCGCGGGCCTGGGGACCATCCAGAACGGTTCCGGGACGACAGCCCCCACCCCCCACCCAGGGAAGGGGTCGGGTCCTCCCTGGGGCCGCGGGTTTAAAAAGTCAGATCGGCGGATGTCTGCGGCGCCGTCCGTGTCCTGCGTCGCCGTCGGCTCGGGGCCCACGGCACAGCGACAGAGCAGGATCGGGGACCGGGCGGGTCTTGGGGCGTCTTCGTCGGCTCTCGGAGGCCTTCCTGCCTGGGGGTGGGCTGCAGCAGCTGCGCCTCGCCGAGGGCGCTCCAGAGGTGCCCGCATCGTCCCGAACGGCCGCTGGAGGCCCAAGCTACTTCCCGAAAAGCGAGGGGTCGGCCATGGCAGGCTCGTCGAGTGCGTCCAAGCGGGGATGAGGACTGGGGGTGTATGGATGTCATAGCCGGGGCAGTGACATTTCCCGGACTGCATGGCCCACCCCTTGGTTTTTCAATGCATTCCCAGGCACCCCCCTCGTCCGCGGCGCACATGCCTCGGGCCATCATGATCCGCTAATCGAGCGGGGCTAGGACGAGGATAAAATCCGTTCCAGAGCGTTCCAGAACGCTCTCAGAGCGTTCGGGAACGCTCTGAGAAGGCCGCGGCGCCCGAGACTTTTTTCCAGAGCCGCCGGATCTCAGAGATTCTCCATTTATCCTCACCCGATTTATCCTCGTCTTGTCTTCGTCGTCTTCGTCGTCCTCCTCCTCCTCCTCCTTCTCCTCCTCTCGGGCTGTTTAATCCAACCCGCCGCGTTGGCACCGACTATCTAATTCTGGCTGATTGAGTTCAGCCAGTCGCAGAGAATCACTGCAGGAATCATGGGTGTCCCTGCCAGCCCACGCGTCCTTCAGGATGCTCGGCCTTCTTGCTTGCTTGCTTGCCTGGCCGCGTCTGAGCCGACTCCCCTCGTCCAGCCCTCCCCCCTACCCGAGCAGGGACGGGCGGAGGGTGCGGGGGGTCAACCCGAGCGCTAGATCTCGCAGGATCCTGCAGGGCCAGGGTTGCACTGACCCGGGCTCGCGCGCAGGATCCTGCAGGAGCTTGCAGGATCTGTACCCACTGCCTGCGCTCTTGGAGTTTGTAGAGAAGTACCATGCAGCCAGGCCCGAGCTGCAGCAGCTCTGTAAGGATGTCGGCATGTCTCGCTCTCGCTCCATCATGAAGCTCTTTCGCTGGCTCCATCCTGCAGGAACTGACCCGGGCAAAGCCCGACCGGAGCCGCCAGAGCCGCCGCAGGCCGACCACGACCGCAGGAGCTGTGGCCCTTCGCCCACCCAGCGGGGGGCCCCTCCGCCGGCGTCGCCGAGGCCGCGGGGCCCTGGGAGCCCTCGGCCCCGCCCTCCCTGGGGCGGCCCGTGGGCGCCGAGGACTGGGACTGCGAAAGGGCCGTCCTCCTCCTCCTCCCCCTCCTCCTCCTCCTCCTCCTCCTCCTCCTCCTCCTCTTCCTCTTCCTCTCCTCCTCCTCCTCCTCCTCCTCCTCCTCCTCTTCCTAAACATCCTGTCCCTCCTCCCCCCCTCCACGTCTGGAGGGGGGCTGCGCCCCCCTCTTCGTCTGGCATCCACGGCCCTCGCATATCGTCGCTTGCCGTGCTCTGGGGTGGGTCGGTGAGGCGGGGCCTGTCGCGATTTCCCGCCGTCAGACCATGCCGTGTGTTCATTCCTGGAACCAGGAGTGGAGCGGCCGCGGCACGGCGCATAGCGTCTCCGCGCGTTTCAGTGTAGCATCAGAGACACAGAGAGACACTGCGAAGCGTCGTCGGACTTCCCCTCCCCAGGGCCGGCTTCTCACCGCGAGCCGCTTCTGTTGGCGGCCTCGCGGCTAGGCCGGGGGCCCCCGAAGGCCGAGCACACTGGCAGAAGCTTCCCGTCGCGGATTTTTTTTCTCTGTCGGGCTTGGCCTGGGATGCTCTGATTCGGTTTTGAAGAACGGGTGGGTGCGAGGCCTACGCTGGCTGGCGTGCCTCGGGGTTGCCAAGCGCCGCCAAGCAACGCCAGGCAACGCCAGGCGACGCCGAGCAATGCCAGGCAACGCCAGCCCGTGCCAAGCAACGGCAGGCAATGCCAGGCAATGCCAGGCAATACCAGGCAATGCCCAGCTATGCCAAGCTATGCCAAGCAAGTCAAATCACATCGAAGCAAATCAACGAATTGCCAAGCAACGCAAAACAATGCACAGCAACGCAAGGCAACGCCAAACAATGCAACGTAATGCAGCGCAGTGCAAAGCGTTGCCAAGCAAAGCAAAGCAAAGCCATTCAAATCAATGCCTTCCTCGCTTAACCACTTACTCAATAAGCTCTCCCCTACTTGGGGTCGTGCCGGGGCCATCCGAAAACGCGGGGGCGTTTGGGTCTGGCGCGCCCTCTCCGAGTCGACGTAGGTCTCGGTCCGGGTTCTTCCTGGGCCCAGGCTTATGATGTTCCAACCCACTTGGCCTTGGTCACCAGAAAGAATCTCGAACGCCAGGAAAGTACCGACATGTGAGGGTTTTCGCGTGTCGGGCTTTCGGAGGCGATACTCGTTCGACACTGCTTCGACACTTTCCTGGGTGCTCGACATTATTTCTGAGATGTGGTCCTTAAGCATGATGGGAGCAACATAAGCCCAGGCCCCTTCCCGTTCCCAGGCGGCCCGGTGGCGGGGTGGCTTGGCCGAACCAGGCCTGGCTGGGGGAGCGCGCGCCCGCAGGTGCGACGCGACTTGGCGGCGGCGACGGAGCCAGGCCGGGGCCGGGGGCATCGGGTCGGGTCGGACTCACGGGGGGGGGTTGGGAAAGGGGGTGGGGTCACGAGATCGCTGCATGCAGCTAGTTTCGGCCCCTTCGGCGGGCGCTTTCTTCGATGCACCGGCAACTCCGGCGCTGGGAGGCGCTGGAGAAGCAGCTGCGTGAGCTGATTCGCCAACCCCTCCTTGGTTATTCCCCCTCCCTCTGGCGTCCACCCCGAGTCGGGAGAGGGAAGGTGTGGGCCTGGGCAGCCACATATGAACCCTGCCCATGCCGCCGACCGACCTGGACCAGCAGGGGGTCACCAGTGGGGGTTCAGAGTTTGCGAACACATGCGAGCCTATGGGCAGCAGGGGTGGGGCTCCCATGCGGCTGCCCGTCAGCATCATCATTCAGCAGGCCTCCGCGGCAGCGCGCACACGGGGGCTGAGCGAGGGAGGCGGTGGGGCCTGCGAGAGCCCTGTCGCACGGTGTTGTCGTGGAGGCCTCTGACAAGATGTCGTGCTGGCAAAGCAGGCCTGGGGCTTTTCAGAAGGGTCCTGCATCTCGCAGGGCGTTCCAGAAAGGCTTTCTGCAGGGCAAAACGACTTCTATGAGGACGGGCGTCGTAGTAGTAGTAGTAGTAGTAGTAGTAGTAGTAGTAGTAGTAGTAGTAGTAGTAGTAGTAGTAGTAGTAGTAGTAGTAGTAGTAGTAGTAGTAGTAGTAGTAGTAGTAGTAGTAGTAGTAGTAGTAGTAGTAGTAGTAGTAGTAGTAGTAGTAGTAGTAGTAGTAGTCGTAGTAGTAGTAGTAGTAGTAGTAGTAGTAGCAGTGGTAGTAGTAGTCGTAGTAGTCGTAGTAGTAGTCGTACTAGTAGTAGTGGTGGTAGTAGTATTAGTAGTAGTAGTCGTAGTAGTAGTAGTAGTAGTAGTAGTAGTAGTAGTAGTAGTAGTAGTAGTAGTAGTAGTAGTAGTAGTAGTAGTAGTAGTAGTAGTTAGTAGTAGTAGTAGTTAGTAGTAGTAGTAGTAGTTAGTAGTAGTAGTAGTAGTAGTAGTAGTAGTAGTAGTGGTAGTAGTAGTAGCAGTTAGTAGTAGTAGTAGTTAGTAGTAGTAGTAGTAGTAGGGGTTATCAGGGGAAGAGCATGATGATGAGTGGGATGCTGATAATTACGGTGAGATAGAATTGTCTGCTGGCGTTGGCGACGACGAAATGGACGATTCGTTAAACATGACGACGCTTGAATGATGGCGATGGTCATGGACATGAACATGCGGACGCTGATGCCGTGTGATGATGCTTGTGCAGGGGGTGAATTTGATTCTGATGACGGCGACGATGATGGTGGTGGTGGTGGTGGTGATGGTGACGATGTGGGGTAGGAGCATGAGGGGACGGAGTATGATGATAAACCAGACAAAGCTGGCGGGGAGGAGGAAGAGGAGGAGGAGGACGAGGAGGCGGAGGAGGAGGAGGAGGGAGGAGGAGGAGGAGGAGGAGGAGGAGGAGGGAGGACGAGGACGAGGCGAGGCGGAGGAGGAGGAGGATAAGAAGGAGGTGGAGAGGGAGGAGGAGGAAGAAAACGAAGAGGAAGAGGAAGAGGAAAAGGAAACGGAAGAGGAGGAGGCGGAGGAGGAGGGAAGGAGGATTGGAGGAGGAGGAGGAGGAGGAGGAGGAGGAGAGAGGAGGAGAGGAGGAGGAGGAGGAGGAGGAGGAGGAGGGGAGGAGGAGGAGGAGGAGGAGGAGGAGGAGGAGGAGGAGGAGGAGGAGGAGGACGAGGAGGAATCACAACAAACACACGGGAGGCGATGGAGGAAGGGGGGGCGAGAGAGGGGGTGGCGGAGGAGGAGGCGGCGGGGGGGGAGGGGAAAAAGGCGAGGCGGAGAGGGAGGTGGAGAGAGAGGCTAGAGAGGGGGGGTGCGAGGGATGGCGGAGCAGCGGGAGGGCGAGGCGGAGAGCCCGAGGCGGAGGGGCGAGCAGCGAGCAGAGCGAGCAAGGAACCCTGGCGACAGCGGAGGCCACGCGGCGCCGAAGCCCGCGCCGCAGCCTGCGTCGCGGCCAGCCAGAGCGCCATCACCTGCGGCGGCGCTGCGGCCGGTGGTGCCGCCGCCGAGGACGTACTGCGGGGGGGCCCCTGCGTGTGGAGGCATGGAAATGGGCACCAACACCGGGCGGTACGGCCAGAAGCCGCCCGCCACCGAGCACATGCTGCGAGGTCTCTGAGCACGCACGGCGCTCCCGGGGGGCCGGCGCGCACAAGTGCAGATCTGCGCGGGCGACGCCGCAGCGAAGGGTTCTCCACAATTTTCGGCGTCCCGGGGCCCTTGTCCAGCCCCATGCAGGACCTTCAAGAAACAGCTCAGGATGAAAGGTCCGGTCCCAGGGGAGGGGGAGGACGGGTGCAAGATGTTACACGAGATGGTTGACAGGTGTTGCAGCACACCCTCCCGTCCCAAGCCCCCTCCGCGGAAGGACGTACACATTCTTCCTCACTGCGCGAAGCACCGCCTTGAACGACGGAGCGCCATGGGCCCACAGTCCGGGCGGGATCTCCGTTTTGAAAGGGAACTGCCCTCCATCTCCCGTGCTAAAATCTATGCGACTAGGTGGGAATATACACGTAAAACCATTGCTCAGCGACCGCCTCGCTTCGAGAAGGAACCGCCCTCCATCTGTGCCACTGTTACAGAATCTAGGCTTTTCGGCTAAAGTGAAGAAGTCTCAGGCAAGAGCCCATTCTGAAAAGGAAACGCCCGCCATCCGTGTAACTGTTGTGCTTGTCAGTGGTACAGTCAGAGTAAGATTTGTCAGGAATCTCAGGCGATACCCTCAAGTTGAACGGAAGCGCCCTCCATCTGTGTACTGGGTGGAACTACGAAAGACGAGCTTGCGCGGCGCCAAAGAGAAAGCCGGATGTCGAAAACGATTCATCTTCCATCTGCGTAATTCCTGATTTTGTGAAGACCTTTCGCGGTGCCAAGGCGAGATTCCCATGCTGGAAACCATTGGCCTTCCATCCGTGCAGCTGTTGGGTTTGTTTAAAGCGAGTGTGTGGCATCAAGGCGAGATCCGAATTTTGAGAACTACCAGCTCCCCATCCGTGCAGCCGTTGGACATTTCAACCTTCTAGACCGTAGACGGTCAGGAAGGCTCAAGCAACGCCCGGCCGGTGGTTCGGCAGGGGAAGTTTTTTTCTAAACGAAGACGGGTGGAGGAGAAGGAGGACTATAGAGGAGCAGAGGAGCAGGGATATTTAACGATGGTGATGACGATGATGATGATGATGCTGATGATGATGATGATGATGATGATGATGATGATGATGATGATGATGATGATGATGATGATAATGATGATGTTGGTGGTGATGATAGTGATTGTGATGGTGATGATGCTGAGGATGCTGAGGATGATGCTGCTGCTGATGATGATTGCGGTGGTGGTTTGATGATGATGAGGATGCTGATGAGGATGATGCTGATAATGCTGATGATGTTGATGATGAAGAACATGATGATGTGGAAAGCAAGATGAGTGATGAATATTGGACACTGGAACACGGGCACGGGAAAAGCAGATACGTTAATGCATCATGTGGTGTCACGTTTCTTTTTCGCCAAAGCCGTCTTAGAAAGTCACAGCTGCGACGCATTATTCCAGTACCACGCGTGCTGTGGGGCAGAGCTGCAACCGTTTTGTTTGCGAATGTATATCACCCGCTCGGATTCGTAGCACTATATGTTTCACCTCGACAAGGAGGGGAAAGAGGGAGAGCTGCGTATGACATGACACTTACATTACTATGCGAGTGGTTGTGCGAATCTCTGAAGTTTTTCACAGCCAGGAGGGCCATACCAATTATATTTACGGATCTGAATGGAGGCTTACCTTTCGAGAGGAGTGACCGTGTGCCTGGAGAATGCGGAGGGGGAACAGCATCGCATGTTACGTTCATTTTCGGCCCCTACTGCAGGGATGGCGATTGACGAGTGCGAACACACATTTTGACAACATAGGGAGCTATGTTGGAGAATGTTGTGAAACATACATCGGCCATGCCATTATTCCAGAGCAGGCAAAGTGCGCGGCTGAAGAGTGTCCTGTGCTTACCAGGTCAGGTCGCAATTTTCAGCTGCACGACGCAGTTGCACCCAGGGACCATCGCCCCACGCAGCTGACCATTTTTTGGGACCGACCTGGACCATCAACTATTGAAAGTACGCCCAGGCCCGACCGCGAGAGTATGTGCAGATGCGTGCAGGAGGGGTGCAAGCGGCAAGAGCTATTCGATGCCATGGGAAGGGGGGCGGGCAGTGTTCAAAACGAGGTTGCAGCTGGTGCTCAGAACGAACATTTGGATGGTACGAATCGTTGTATTGTTGCCATTCTCAACAACGTGTTTCTCAAGGTATTTCCAAAAAAGTTCCCAGCGCACGGGAAAGAGAGGCCAATGCGAGAGAGTTGCGCAGACTACTGCAGCTGCGACGGATCCTTCGAGAGACACGTGGCCAAACAGAGGACGAGAGGCAGCTGGGCGCCGTCTGCGAGCAGGCGCGAGATTTGAATCGGAAGCTCAAGCACGCCGCCAAACAGTATTGGCACGACATCAACGAGAGAAGATGCGACGAATTGCGAGTGGCCCTGCGTGAGCGTGACGGCTACATGGTGCACAAACTGAACAGGCTGAGAGCACGTAAGCGTCGTGGACCTAGACAGAGAAGATATGCAGTAGCACCGGGTTCATCGGCAACGGCTAGGCAGTGGATTGAACAGATGATGGGACCAGCCGCGCAGGGGGGATGTTCGGCGACAGCATGTGGACCAGAGGTGATTGCCAGCGAGTTGCAGCAGGAAGCGACGGCCCAACGAGTCCCCAGAGGCCGCGTTCATCGCTGCCGAGGACTGGAGCAACATGAAAGACGCCCAGTGGAGATTCAAGTTCTGGCGGGCGTGGCCTGCGTGGGGTGTTGCAGTTGAGGGGCTACGCCTTATTTTGTCCGAACTGGACGAACCCGCGTAGACGCCGGGTGCAAGGAGGAATAGGACATGAGTCACCGAGTTTTGACGAGCCCACGTGGGCCCAGCCCTACATAGGTCGACTTTTGATATAATGTCGCCGACTGAGGTGCGCGCTTGTGATGTGGCGCGCGGCGTTGGCCGCAAGAATTCCCAAGGGCAGCAACAAGCTGGACTATGCAGGGCAGAGAGTGATCATGGTCATGTGTGCGATTGGTAGGTGCGTGAACGGTGCGGCCATGCGTCGTCGATGCCCAAAGTGGGAGCCGCCTGATTGAATATATGGAGGGTAGAGGGGTAGGAGGAGGGAGGACGCCACGGGAGTGCAGTTGATTTCGTCGTATCGCATGTTTCGCGCGGGCATCGGCCACATGTTGCGGTGCCACGATGCGGTGACTGCGTTCTTCTCACTGCGTCATGATAGTATTTTGAAGGTGGCGCGCGCAATCCGTGACGACAGACGATTTGGAGTCTTTTCGGGACCGCGTCGCCGAGGGGCTTTTTCTAGTTCAGGACGGCCCGGAATCTCAATGGCAACGGCCAGGGGAAGGATTGTTTCCGGGAGATCAAGGAGCCGCGCTGCTTTTCGCATGCACATTCAGCGAGCCCTTGTCTTTGGAAATATGCAGCCAAGCCGTGGGGCGCGGCTGGCGCGTTGCAGTGGAGGTGTCGACGCCGTGGGGCGAGGAGGATATCAGACAGGGATGTATTACAGGGTTTGTTGACAATATCATCGCACCCAAGGTTTTGGAGAAGTGTTTGGGGGTGGTGGTGTGGGGGGTGGGGGGTGGGTGGGTGGTGGGTGGGGGGGGGGGGGGCGCGATGGCGGTGCAGCTGCAGAGGGGGGGCGAGGCGGAGAGCGAGGCGGTTGCGAGGGGGGTTGGAACAACAGGAGCTTCGCAACGCATCAGCAATCAGGAAAACGTGTGTTACCTAAGAGGCACGGGAGCTCATCGGGTATTTCGAATCACCCATTGGTGGGAGGTGAGTATTCAAGAGGTCGTCAGGTACCTTGGGGCTTCAGGCTGCCACGTTCGCATCGGGGCCCGAGCTGTCCGAGCGGTTTTATGCGCTCAAGCGGCATTTTTTAGCGAAGGAAGGTTCTGGTACAGCTCTGCCCTACTGAAGTCCAATATGAACCTCGTCGAAGGCCTCCTTGTCAACGCGGCGCTAAGTGGTCAGAAGTCCTCGCCAGGCCTGGAGGGCCGTTGCAGCCGGCGGATTTGCAGCCCATGCAGCGCTTTATTGTGCAGGAGAACCGTGCCATACTGAGTGGCACAGCCATGTGTTCGGAGGAAGCAGGGCGCGCTGTCCAGCTGCCGTGGGAAGACCTTCTGCGCAAGTTTAAGATGACACCGTTGTTTATTGAACTGCGGATTCGCAGGTTGAGGTGGCTGGGGGCGATGATTTCGAACGGAGAGCGACGCGCTCAGTATTTGCCAGTGTGTTCTGGGGTAGTGGCGGGAGATGGGGATCCACTTGATGAGTGGGGGGTGATCTTGCCTGCAGCGCATCCGTGGGCTCGGCAATTTCACGCGAACATATGCGCC